AGTTGCGCCATCTAGAAGCAATAGCGAGAACCATTTTCACTACAAACTTGGGCATTTTCCCACCGATGGCGCCACTGGTATTAAGCCACTTAACTATCAATACGATGGATACCGATGACAACTGATGACAACTGATTGATGATGGATACGTGTAACCATACGAATCACTTGATGTGGCAGTCCTGAATTATTCTGAATATTCGTACATATAATATATAGGAGCAGATAGGAGCGACTGCTTTCTTAAATAAATATAGCATTCTTATACGTAAAGAGTTGGTGCCTGTAATGCTTGTGAAAGGATTATTAGTTTATTATATAGATTATAGATTGTCTGGGATTTTATGTATAATTGGTATCTGTACTAGGTGTTAGCATTTCGTTTATCAACGAAACAACTCCATTGAATTATGTTTGAAGATAGCTGGTTTTTAGACTCGATCGGTACATTCGCCGTTAATCAGCAATCGAAGAACATAACCTACATGTTGCGTTTCTGTTTTTCTTTTGTCATTCGATCCGCTGATGAACCATGGAGTCTTCTATACTAAACGCGGTAAGCCATCATCAAGTTTTCTCGATTGTGTTATCGTTATGCTGGACTAAGAATGTGATTTTATCGAGAGTCATCCATTAACTCTTGGCTTTCATCCTTTTTATCGTATAGGCTCTGTAGTTTATACAATTTTGATGTATTTGTTCGTGTAAACGTGTACGTAATACATTTTTCTACTAAAGGCACACGAAAGGCAAAGGAGAGCCGAAGCACTGTTACAAGAGGGGCGATTCGAAGAAGCAGCCAAGTGTCACGAAGCAGTGGCCAGCCTCTTGGGAGAAGCTTACGCGCAACTGGAACCTGGTTACGTTTGCTCAAAAACTTCCAGTTTATCCGGTTCGATTGGTCCAGCCACGATTGCCTCGTTCCATTCTTTGGTCACTTTAGAATCTTTGGCGCTTCAATGCGATTATCACAAGAGACAAGCCGCTGTAGTTAGGTAAGTAACAATACTCTATGACCCATCGTAGAATTAGACAGTACGTACTAAAACGTTTTATAGAATGAAACAAGCGCAATACGAAGAATACAAAGCTACGTTGGAAAACCAGCAGCGTGAAATTCTTAGTAAACAGGCACCTAAGCAATTAGAGAAAGATACAACCGAGTTGCCATCGGAGAAAATTGACGGATCTTTGCGTCAAGCTATATATAGAACGATCGAAGAGCAAGATAGCCTTTTGAGTTTGATTTCTTTACCAAATAACGAAGATAAGGCTTTTAAACATCCAAAAGATACTGGCACTGTCATCGAAGAGCTGAAAACTGTGAATTGCCAGTTACGTTGTCACATTGGCAGCTTGCTCAGTCAATTAGAGGCTAAAGAGGAGGAGGTGCGTCAACTGACGGACCAACTGCACGCTGTATCCGTTAGTCCGAGCGACGAGACCAGATTAGATAATGCGCATTCTTCGCATCTTGCACCCTTGCCACCTTTAACTCCTCTCGAAATGCCACTTTTTGACTTTACGTCCGCGTAAAATATCATAAGGTATTATTCGAAACAGATCGTCTGCGTCTGCGTCTGCGTCTGCGTCTGCGTCTGCGTCTGCGTCTGCGTCTGTTCGAATCGAATCGAATCGAATCAAATCAAATCTTCCATAACGTACGAGATTCATGTAATCGTTTACGAAATTAAATCGAATTTGTAATAGTACAAAAATTAACGATGGAATTGGTTTAATATTCGATCTCTGGGTAGATAATTTTGAAATCGAAGTGTATTACAATTGCTGTCTTGTATCGTTCGAAAGCAGACAAAATATGTGACACCGTAGCGTATTCGAACTCGAACGTATCGTTACTTAGGCGATGCTACGCAGAGGGATCAAAATACATATCGATTATAGATATTACGTAGTCGCAACGTGTATTCATTCGTTTTGTTTGCGCGTGAAATCTGTTAAGAGTAGGTGTCTATGTGTGCGTGTATATAATAAATAAGAGTAAGCGATTTATAGATTAAAATACTGCCATTAAGATATTTTTAGGCAGAAGCGAATGTTATGTAAAAGTAATATATGCTCTTGGCGGAGTTGTATAGCATATGTATGTAATCTTTCTCTATCGTGATTTCAGCACAGTACGATTATCTGTTGGTTGATTTGTTTAAACGTTATATCGTCAAGCACATATGAAGCGATTGGAAAACTTGATTGTATAATAGGAAATGTTGGAAAATAAAAGTTGGTCGAAAGTAACGTTTCCTCCTACCTCTTACTCGTGGATTCGATATAATCGTATTTTTCGACTATTTCGAGTAAAGTGGCTTTGGACAACCAGTTGATTTCACTCCGACTATAATAAGACACTTTCAGTGTCGCGTTAAACGTCATCGATCAAGTAACAAATTTGACACTCCGATAAATGAATAGGTTCAATGGAAAAAAAAAAGTGAACCTAATCGGTTTCGGGTGATATAGAAAAATGAATCGTAAAAAGTAAAGAAATAAAAATCTCTGAAAAATGATTGAAAACGAAGAAAATCTTCCGTGTGACTGTTGAAATGAAGCACATACCGTGAAAGGATCGATGTCGGTTCATCGTAAATCATAAATCATAAATCGTACATCGTAAATGAGCACCGAACGGAAAAATTTGTAACTGGGAGCAGGATGGAACGATCGGGTGAAATAATAACAATTTTCATAGGCCAGGCTGGTACACAAGTGGCAAACGCCTGTTGGGAATTATTCTGCCTGGAACACGGCATATTACCCAATGGCTGCATTCGTCCGGGTTATCGGACGCAAGATACTTCGCTCTGCACATTTTTTACGGAAACAGATGTAAGCGTGTTTGTTGAATTTGTTTGAATGGTAGGAACTGTCGAGGCATTCGTCGCAGTTGCTGGATTTAGCCAGCGTTCGATAATTTCGAGGCCCGAGGGTCGTTTTCCCAGAAAGAGGTGGAACTATGCGTCAGCTGGAGCGCCGGCTACGAATGCGTTAACTACATATGTGCGAACGAGTTAAATTTCAGCTTATGGAGGAAAATGAAATTTTCAGACGAGGAAAATGACAGCTCGTACGGTGATCGTTGATCTAGAACCCACGGTGATCGACGAGATCAGAACAGGTGCTTACAAGAATCTCTTTTCTCCGGCGTCGTTGATCTCCGGAAAGGAAGACGCGGCCAACAACTTTGCCAAAGGATATCATTCGAGCGGCCGCGAGGCGATCGATCTCGTAGCGGATCGTGTTTGCAGGACATGGGACAAGTGTTCCAGACCAACCGGTTTCATCGTGTTTAGGTAAGCAAAATGTTGAATTTCTTTTCATCCTTAAGTAATATTTACGGGTTTGTTATACGTTTGGTTTCGTAGATCGGTGAACGGTGGTACCGGTGGCGGGTTCGGTACATTATTGCTGGAACGGCTGACGTACGACTATCCGAAGAAGATCACGTTGGATTTTGCTATTAGTCCGGCTCCTAATATCTCCACCGTGATCGTTGAACCTTATAACGCGATTTTCGCCACGCATGGTAGCTTGGACCACGTGGACTGTTGTTTTCTCATCGATAACGAAGCTCTTTACGATATTTGCACAAGGTACGAGAATCGTTGGTCGAAACCAATTTCTTATTTGTCGGTCTTTCGGCGCATCTATACAGAAATCTAACGTTTGAAAGCTAAGCGAACGACTCGGTAGTTCTCGTCAAGAAGAGGTTTACGCTACGCGACGAGTTTTCTTTGCAGAAAGTTGGACGTCGAGTCTCCAACGTACACCAACTTGAACAGATTGCAAGCCCAAGTTGTCTCGAGTATCACGGCCTCGATGAGGTTCGAGGGAGCGGTGAACATGAGCCTGCAGGAGCTGCAAACGAATCTGGTACCCTATCCTAGAATTCATTTCTCTTTGGCCACGTATGCACCGCTAACCACTCCTAGAAAAGCCATGCATGCGGAGATAACGACGCAGCAGATCACGCGCGATTGCTTCGAACCGGATAATCAGGTGCCGACTCTCGAACAAACTTTGGAACCCAGAGATTTTTGCGTTTCGTTCAACTCGGTCTATTCGATTGTTAGATGGTAAAATGTGATCCACGCACGGGAGCTTACACGAGTTGCTGTTTACTTTACCGCGGGGACGTGAGCCCGAACGACGTGAACAGAGCGATTGCGTCCTTGAAAGGGAAAAAGTCGATTAGATTCGTCAGTTGGAGTCCGACCGGATTCAAGGTATACGCTACACGTGTTGTTATCAAACGATCAACAGAAACACATTTTTATTATCAAAGATGCGTTCGATTGCACTGTTCGAGATATACATATACTTACCAACGATGTTAACGATTCTGTTTTCAGGTAGGAATCAATTATCAACCGTCCGTGTCTGTGCCTGGCGGTGATTTAGCGAACTCGAGGAGAACAGTGGCGATGATTAGCAACAATACGGCTATTCGGCATTCGTGGAGAATGCTCGCGCGTAAATTCGACCAGATGTATCGGAAAAGAGCCTTTATGCACCATTACGTGGAGGAGGGTATAGAAGAAGGTGTCTTTCGGGAAGCTCGCGACAACATAGCGACTTTGATCGATGATTACGAAGAGATCGAGAGGTGATCGATAACCGGCACTCCTCGCTGCTCGTTCATTTTCTCGGGATCACGATATGCGAACGTTGAAAGACTCTCAAGCGGCCTATCTGTATAACAGGTTCGGTATCGACTCCGAGAGATCGAGTATCGCAAACTTTAGTAACAATCAACATTTTCCATGGAAACTTTGATTCGTTTAATTCTTGTTTTACGAGAATTGTAATTGTACGTATAGGTATCTCTACCACGAAACTTACGAATATATTGAAGAAGGCTTACGGAATATATTGACGGAACGAAAATATTTCCATTTCTCCTTTCTTGACTTTACGGTTGAAGGAGGTTTGAAAAAGAGAAATTGTCGCGCACCAGAACGGAAAAAGATTCGAATCGAATCGGATTGGATTGGATCGGATCGGATCGGATCGGATCGAGTCGCGGGAAGATTGCACGAGACACGAGGGCACCAGCGGTAGTAGACTCTCGGGCACCAGTCGCGCAATTGGAACGATTGCGTTCGTCAGGTTCTCCCACTGTTTCCGCACTGCACACGACCGTATCGATAACGAATCACGCGTCTGTCTACCGGGACCATGCGCTCTACTCGCGGAAACGAGCAATAACAAATATCTTTGATCCGATTCTCGCAACGCACACCGTAATCTCGATAACGGGTTGGCTGATTAATGGCTGCCGATAACAGCGCATTACCTGATCTGTTTTAGACGTAATCGGAATCCTATTTTCGGTATCGAGCAACGATCGAGTCTCGATGGATTTCACACGAAAGCCCGTACTTGCGTTGCGTTGCATTGCGTTGCGTTGCGTTGCGGTGCGTTGCATTGCGAAATTTGATTTTACTCGTAACGAAAATTAATTTCACGCTAATAAAGCAATTTCATAAAAGGACAGAATGTTAATGATAATTATTTTACCACTGGTATACACCGTAATATTAACATGGACGATTACATCGGGTTTCCGATCACTCTCGAATCACTCGTTCTAGACTCTTAATGACGTTTCGAATATGTCGAACTTTGTCCCGATACACGATTCCGGGATATTCAATATGTTATTTTGAGCAAGAAACGCGAGTCACGGTGCAACGATATCGCTCGACAATCAAAGAGGATCACGCTCCCCAGCAAAGACAGGATCGTTCCAAATGACCGCTGGCTGCAATCTTATCTTTCACGCGTAAACTTCACCTACTATTATGTGATTTTATTTTCTTATATTATTTTATTCTTTTCGCTTTGTTGTTTGTCGTTCGATCGCAAAAGAAGATGTAACGGTAATCGATACCACCTAGCAACTTTCATTTGCGAATGTCATTCTCAATCGTAGAGAAGTATTATTAGTTTACTTGTTTGATCGTTGGCTAAATCGTATCGAGTTGGCCACCGTAAAGATTAAACATATACATATTTTCTTGCACGCGGTTAGCTAGTGGTTCGGTTCGTTACCTGAACTTTGTCCGCGAGATATAACGATCGACGATCCCCACCTTGACCGTCGTTTCCCGATTCCGGAACCAGTAATTGCATGTTTCATGTTTCATTACTCGGATCGAAATTTTCCGCTGGATTTGTGCGAATAAGCTCGTCGCAGTCGGTTATCCGAGAAACGAAGAGACAAGGTTGAAGTTGTCTTATCGAAACCGGTAATCGTCTCTATCGCTATCGCGTCGTCTGCGTCTGTTAGTTCATCTTGGCGTTGTCACGGAAGTTTCACGTGAATCGTATACGATTTCTCTATCGCTCCGATACGCGAATGCGTGTCCGCTTTTGCGCATTATTCGCGGCAGCTGGTACGCAAGTATTCTTTCGTATAACAAGTACGATTTCGAATTACGTAGAGCAACTGTACGCCCCCGATGAACTCTCGTTGATCGTTGATCGTGCTCGGAACAAATTTTCCATCGGTCTTGGTTCGCTGATGGAACTTTCTTCTCGGTTTGCCTCGCCTCGTTGCGTCGCGCCCGCACCCTGTCGCACACATCGCAACCTTTTATACATATTATATACGCATGTACGTATACGATACACCGAATCTCATATTACGAAACAAGAATTTATGATTCATCGCGTACACGCCGCGCGCCGTACGTCTAATCCATTTCTTTTATCCCTTTTCTACGTCCACGACGCATACAAAATTTATTCCATCTTTTTTCAACGAGCTTGTTCGAATTTGTTAGCCGAGCGCGATCGCGACCCCGATACTCGTTCGGTCCGGGCGCGGGTTCGTTAGACGGGGGTCCTTTTCAAACACGTTACTTCAAACAATTCGGAGATGCTGATGCAACCTCGGGTCTAAAACACTCGAGTTTCGTAAGTTGATACGTGTACGGTGACCTTCGCTCTAAAATGTTTAATCTTATTTCGTGTCGCATCATCGCGCATCGATTCCTACTACGTATACTATTACGTACACTACTACTACTACGATACGTATACGCTGTATCAATGGTTAACCGGACCGATACGATTGTGTGTTGACGCGATAAATTAACGCGTTACCAGTTTTTCCGCACCGTGTCCGATTTCGCGGAGAAGGTAACAAATAAAAAGACACGCGCAATCGATTAAACAATTCGAAGAAATCGATACCGAACTTTTGCACACCATGGCCATGTGATTCACTCGGGTAATTCCAAATAATCCGTCATTTTCAAGATAAGACAGAGATAGTTTGCCAACGCATGGATTCTTCGATATCGAAATAACGAAAAGAACCCGTTCTATTTGGAAATTAATTAAATTTTAGAAATAATTCTTCGATATGAACTCATTGTTTTCTAACGAGCAAGCGATTATACAATAATATTTTCACCTGGCTATGCGTTATCTCGAATAATTTTCGGGTCAACGACGACGACGAAGATTCCCTTGCGCAGACACGATACCAGACGAAGATTACCAAAGCAGTTTTACATTGATTGTATGCGGGATTCAGGAAGATGACGTATGTATGTATACAACGCGCGAGATAAATAAATCGTATCGATTGTCGTCAGAAACAAAGTACACCGAGAAGATGGAAAATGTTATTCGTGTTATCGGGAAATGATTTTTCTCGCGATAGGAACGTTAATCGTAAGCGTACGTCATCGCGCGAATGTACGTCAGATTTTGCATTAAATTAAATTAAATTAAATTAAACCTACTAAAAAATCCAGAGTAAAGTATAGGTAAAATTCCGCAACGAGATAACGACACAAGGAGTTTTGCTCGCAGGTTCGTCGTTTGAAAACACATGACTTTGTCAGGATTTATTCAATTGTAAGTTGTTTGGATCGACACCCCAAAGTTAGAGAGACACAATTACTCCGGTTTAAATACCATTTCGAGCTGACAAAGCGTCCGTTTCTTCCGGTTGAAGTTTGTCTAATTGGTATTTTGGTAATCGCACGGAATTGCGCCACGGTCATTGGTTGTTTATCTTTATCGTGTAACGTCGTTAACGTCTTCAACGTCGTCAACGTCGTCAACGTCGTCAACGTCGTCAACGTCGCGTCGCTCGATAACGATGCATCGAGGATAGGTAGGAGAAACCGCAACCCCGATAGCTCTCCACTCTTCGTTTATCTAAATCTCGGATTGGACGGTATTAAAAATGTCTTGTCCCACCACCATCGCCGTCGCATGCTGCTCGAGGATTCGGCGATCAGGGTGAATGACGCGCAAACGTGTCGTTATCGTGAGATCCCGTGACGCGGTACTTATCGTATAAATTATTCGCGCATGGAGGTCTGTTCGTCAGTTCAGCTTTGCTCCTCATTGTCAGACGATCGCGAGCGAAGCAGAGCTCTCCACATTCAACAACATCGCCGACGACACTCTGTTCGAGCGGACAATTGTTTTGGTTCTATTCGAACGTTTAATCTAGTCGCTACGCATAATATACAAAGGTGAATATTTTGAATCTTTGCACTTCTTGAACTCGTACGGTTATACGTCCAATATTCCACTTTTCAGATCGTATACGCTTTGCATGCTTTTTTTTTCCAAATCTATCGGTCAAAAATCGAGTTTCTATGTAGTTGTTAAAGCATCGAATATCCTGGATCTATTGTTGCTTTTAATTGTTTGATTTGATTCGTACGATAGCGCAGATTCGATTCGAGTACGAATCGCTCTTTTTCGCAGTTATAACCATTTGTTCGTTTCGCTTTTAGATGCTGATCGGTGGAGCCGTAAGTTACGTAGCTGGTAGGCAAGCTGTTCGCACGGTCTACTGGAGGACATCGAGCAACGGTCGCCTTTTAAAGACGGCCAAGACTTGCATGTTCCAAGGACCGCCAAAACCGGCTCCATCCTCGACGTCAGCTTCATCGGCTTTTCAGGCTCGCACCCAAATCGAGCCTGTACCGAAAACTGTCTTGAAATCTCGAAATTAAAAAGCACTTGGCATGACATTGGACCAACCAACTAATGAGAGAGAGAGAGAGAGAGAGAGAGAATGTGTGCGTATGCGTGCGTGCGAGGGAGCGTGGCCGCGTTAAGGGGCAACAACTTGCATTTGTACATAATTATTATATTACTAATTTAAGTATACTAATTACTACAAGTTATCGCTTGTACGCTAATAGTTAATAACGTGACCGTCTAATAAAGACAATATTTATTTCCAATAAAAATTATGGAATCGATCGAGTTATTTTCTCTAAACTTTTTCACCGATAATTGCAACTATTTGTCGAGTCGAATGTTATCTAGTCGAAAAATCGTATCGACAACTTCCCTATAATCAAGTTTCGGAGTCACGGACTGACTCGCGTTCAACAAACTTAACCGTGAGAATTGCGCGTCTAGATGGACGTCTCTTCTATTCTCCCCGTGAATGTCATACTTGAAGTTTGAAATAAGGTCGAGACGATTTGCGTCACTGGTCGCTCTTAAAGAATAGAAGCTTGTGTTCGGAATCATCGTTAGATGCGACACGATTAATCATGCAACCGACCGCCGCTATCGTTGCAGTTTCTTTTGCCACCTTCCGTCGCTAATCCTCTCACGCAAACAGGACGAGAATTCGTTTCCCAAAAATTCTTCCTTTGAAAGTTACGTCGCTTACGGAACCTTCGAGTTGGCGTGAAAATATGTTTCGCCTCGACTACGTTACGTATTACGATAAACTTTTCGACTCGTAACGCTAACTTTATCGTTTATATCGCGACACCGAAGAAGAATTGAAATCACGCACACGCGCCATGGTTGTGCGATGCAGGACCGATCGAGTGCGAGATGAGTGACACGCGGATCATGTCCAACGGAAAATCCGAACCGTTCGAGAGGTACGTCGATCGCAGTTAAATCGTTGATCAAAAAAATCTTGGAAGACGCGTAAGCGACACGTTTCTCGAGAGAAAATAATGGACGCAAGTTAGGATGCAGGTCAAGGTCCCCGACATTCGAAGCACGGTCATCGACGGCACACTAAGGGTTTCCCTAAACGCACCTCCGGAGGTCGTTCGGCTGCCGGACGAGATCTTTTCACGTCGAACATCAACGCGGCAAGCTTGCACGCATCTGTTATACGCATTTAAGTAAAATCTTTTCTTACGATGCACGCCAAGCTTTAGAAAACTCGTAAAGCGACAAAGATCGCGACTAAGTGTCAGCGATCGAAACAATGTACAAGTACAAATGTAATTATTTTATAAATATTTCACGTAACATCTT